TGTTTAATACAAATTCAACATTTTAATATAAATCAATTAGTTATATAACTATCTTTTTTGTATATTAATCAATATGAACATGAATATTCCAATTATTTCCATGCAATCCAATTTCTTACAAATCAATTAATTATATTTACCAATAATAATAAACCAAATAATTTCCCCCATATATTCCTCCAAACCACAACTTAACCATTTCTGCTTTCAACACAATATACAATTATTAATAGTATCTCAATTATTACAATTCCCTAGTTAAATAGAGCTTTTTTTCTTTTGTGTTTTAAAATCTTGAACTCTCCTCTTTTGCCCAAAATTTCCCATTGTTTGCAGTTTTGTACCTACCTTTTTTGGTGAGGAAAAAGAAAAAGAAAAAGAAAGAAATCTCTCTCTGCCTCATTTTGTCACGTTGCAGCATTACTTTCGCTTTCGCCTTTGTTTTTTTCAGCATAGCTAAGGGAAAAAAATCTGCTCCAGGAACTTTTTGCAGCTTTTTGCAGCTTTTTGCAGCTAATTAACCTAGCGGAAGCTGTTAACAGGGGCTGTTTTTTCTATTTTTTTTTAACACTGATCAGCTGTAGGTCGGCCCTTTGAAGCCCCGCGGCAAGAGTTTAAACAGGTTTTTTTCCCTCTAGCCATCAGCGGGGATTCAGGAGGCAGCCGGGACTCAGGAGGCAGAATGAAAAATCGGGACTTTTTAAAAATGCCGCGGGACACGGGACAAATTGCTCAAAAGCGGGACTGTCCCGCCAAAAGCGGGACGTCTGGTCACTTTAACTTATGAGGCCCTTTCACCTATAGTGAAAGTGTAATTTTAATTTTGCTAACAATTTGAATGTAGGCCCCTCTTGATCTTGAGGCCCTAGGCTGAAGCCTAGTTAGCCTATAGGAAAATCCGGCCCTGCTTAAGTTTATCATTAAATCTAGACCGTATAAAAACACATTGCTTTATTTTATTTTTTTCATTTTTAGAACATTTAAAAAAAATAAACAACAGTCTCATAGCTTGAATTCATTTCTTGCTAACAGGAGGATAATTTTTTTTCCTATTCATGTAAGATTACTCTCTTTGTTGAGCCCCAGGCTTGTTAGAGTCAAAGCTCTACATGAAATGATAAATTCCATGTTTGAGGAATATAGCTTAACATTCCATTATATCTTATTACATTTCTTTCCAAAATTCTATTAACATATCCTATGATTTGTAACCAAAATAGAGCTATGGTGAAGAAGATCAAACCTATTGACATCCCTCAAATCTATTTGATCCATGTGGCTTTCTTGCTGAGAAAAAAACTGTCTGCAGTATACGGTTGCTAAGAGGTGAAAATGACTTGATGACATATAACCAATCAAATTTATTACAAGGCTTCACAAGAAAATCTGATATCCAACTCTTTCAAAACATTATTGGAGGGATCCAATGAACATGATACCGTACATGCTAATGAATTTATCTCACTCTTAAGCCATACGTATGTTTCACATTTCTTAAAACGTCGACCTACTGATTTTCCAAGATTGTTATTCCAATCATATATTCCACAATTATACAACAGAAAATTTTCCTATCAGGTGATATCTGATGAAATTGCATGTATACATTTAGTATATTTGATTCATCTTATTGTAATATATTTTGAGAACAATATTTTCTGAAGGCTGTATAAATGATAAATCCTAATTTCTTACACTACGCTATCGAAATTTTAGATCTCAAAGGCTGCAAAATAGACTTTTTTCAAATTGATAATGGAACTGAATAACTGTATTAATGTACAACTTCAATAAGCTTTGGTAATGACACCATATAATTATCCAAATTGGCTATGTTATCACTGGCACATAGAAACAATTTATATTTGCTATCAAGTGCCATCATATCATTAATATCTTGAAATTATCTAATGAATGAAATGAAAGGTTCAGGAACCAAATTAGAGATTAATAGAGACAAGGGGCATTGTTGATAGATTCCATGAGATAACCTGATGTTTCAAGAAACAAATCAATTTGTAATTATTGTAGCCACAGGGTGAAGATATACTAAATTGTAACCTAATAGATAGAGGATTATGAAAATCCATATCTTCTTAGAACATATTTAAAAATACTGTCCAAACCATATCAAAAGCCTTTTCACATTCCATTGTTTAAAGCAGTTGATTCCAATATATCAGGCATGATGCCAAAAATACTAATTTGCCAAATTAAAATTATCAAATCCTTGTCTTTTTTTCCTGATAAATCCAGACTGAGTATGGTATTACTTTTGCTAGCATCCTAGTTTGTGTTATAGTTAACATTTACTATTATTGTAATATATGGCTTGAAAATGAAATATTTCATTTTTATGGGATCCTAAATATTTATCAGAGCAATGGTGACATTATCTTTATTATCAAGAAAATAAAGTGTCCTTCACTATCACAATGCTCATATTCCATTTCATTTTCATAAATAGCTATACCAGTTGCTGAATATTAATATGAATATCAATTAATATAGCTTTGCCCAATTCAGTTACTGAGCCTCGGTAACACATGTTCATTAAATAGAGCATGTGTTTCTTGCAACATAATTTACCGTTGTAATTTTTCTATTTCATTGCAACTTTGCCCATTTTTTAAAAAACCTGAATATGTTTAGATTCCAGTTTTATTATTTTAATTGTAGGCAAAGTATTTCTCAAGATCAATTTCCCAATTTCCAAATCACATTTCCATCATAATTCTCAATAAAATGGATAGAGCTTCATGTACTGAAATTACAGTTCAAGAATAAGCTCAATAGAAATCTGAAATTATTTTGAAGGGGGATTTAACCATGGTAAGCAATGATTTGGAAAAATATATGGACATATAAATGGAATTGATGAATGATTTATTCCCTAAAGGTGATGTACAACTATTAAACCATGAAATCGATTCGGATATATTTTTCCCTGGATATACAAAAGACTTTTACTAAGGCATCAATGATTTCTCTGGAGGGGACAAACTACCATGGCAAAAAAAGTTGTTACAAATATTATTTACTGAATATACATAATAAATTTGTTAAAGTTACCTCAAAAACAGATGAAGAAAAAACTAGAGGCTCTTTCTGAAAAGATTAAAAAGCAAGACCCTTACAAATTCAGGAAAGATTTATAAAGTCAGTTTATTTGATCAGGTCTAAAAGGAAAATAGTTATATCTCTTTTTTCTTACTGGATTTCTGCTGACAAGGAAAATATGATGAAGTCTATGGATTTGTGCTTTTTATTTAAGAGGTAAACTATGGAGTGAAGAAAGATTATATTTTATTTAAGATGGTGACAAACTATCAAAATTGTTTTTTACTTGCTGAGATGAAATGAGAGGTTGCTCTTTTTCTGTTCCCTTTGTTCTTTTTCATATCTTTTGGATATTTTTCTGTTTGTATTTTTTGTAATTTGTATTTGTTTTGTTTTTTCAGTTATAATACTTAATATAGTTATTTGGAAAATGTCTGGGTTCAATATTCTTAAAGGAATAAAATGTATTGCTAGATATATAGAAAAGACGCACAATACTTATTAAGCTTTTCTTTATGTAAAGTGAAAATACTGATTGAAGTGTAACTTGCAGTCTAACTTTGCAGTTTTATTGGGGGTGGACTCCACCCCCAATAAAAGGTGGGGCAACCCCCACTTTTTATTGGAGGTGGGCAATCCATAATGAATTTACTGGTAATCCTAGTCAGAGGTATTGTGAGATTCAATTGTCTGGCTCCAACTACCATTTTCATGTCACTAAGCCCTTCCGTCCCCGCTTTCTGAAGATATTCCCAATCCCAAACTACCTTTCTTCCATATTAATGTATTCTTCCACATCTGTGTATGAACCTGCTAAAGGTTCAAGGACAATGAAGATTTGGGGACAAAAAAGTATATTCTAACCCTAAAGAGATCTTTTTTTCTGAGTTGCATCGCTAATCTAGGTAGTTCCTTTTAGCCTCAAATAATCAATCTAGATTATTATTTGAGGGCTCAAACAATAGTATGTCCTCTTCTTTCAAGGGCATCAATATTTCAGAATTCTTTGCTCTTCATACATTGATGATAGCAGGAACTATGCTAAAAACAATCTCCCATATTTTTCCGAAAGAGTACATTCTCTCTAGATCCTTTCCTAGACATCATAACCATCTTTCTCAATTTCAAAAGATACAGTGAAAACAGAATTATATGACAGTTCCCTAAGTGCTCAGACCTTACACATCAATTGGATAATAGGGGTGGGCAGGTGAAGAGTCTGAAACAGCAGAACCTTACCTAAAGCATTTGTCTCAATCTAGTAAAAAGACTTGGAAATTGTGGGCCAGAGGACTTAATTGCAGCAATTTTTTTTTAGTATAGACTAAACAGGCATCTTATTTTCTAGGTCAGGGAAAGACTTTCTCCCTCCCTGCCCATGCTTATTTTTATTTTGTATAAGCAGACACACTGAAAAAGGAAGAAGAGGTGATATCGGCTCTTAACAAAATTTACACTATTATTCCTTATCTCGCACTACAGGTAATCCTCACTTAATGACTATTTGTTCATCATTATAATGGTGCTGAATGAAGAGACTTACGAATTGTGTCCAAAGTTATGGCCATTGCAGAAGTCCTGCAGTTACATGATGAAAATTTGGGCTCTTGGCAAGCTGCCCACTATGTCAGTAGGGGTGCTGCAACTTCCCCCACCCATGTATCTTCCCCATAGACATCTATGTCCATAGACACCCAGGAAGCTCTAATGGTACAATGTGAAACAACCATCGCCACACAGGAAGGCCAAATGTCTAGGAAGCCTCAGTTTAGTTTAACGCAAGGATGAGGACAGCAAAAGTTAGTCTGCATCACTCCCAGCATGTCTGGGATGGGAAGGCAGGAAGCAAGCAGGCCAAAGGGATGAGGTGGACATTAAAGCTGCTCCATGTCAGAGTACCAAGTAACACCCCCAACCAAGTAAGACTCCAAGGCAGGCAATTCCTCAAAGTTCCATTTTATTAGAGATGTCATATTGGCATATCTGGGAAAACCCGAATCTGAAAGCCCCCGGGTTTTTCCCACCCAAAGGAAAGTCAAAATCCCTTCCCCTGCACCCACATGTCCATCACATGGTCCAATCATTCCACTGTCCCAATTGGAGATGTTCCCCAGTCACACCTCTCCAGGTGCAGGCTGAACGTCCTTGACTCCCAGAGAAAAGAATGTTGTTGTGGCTAACTATCTCTACCCACTCCATGCAACCCCCCTCCTAGTTTCTCACAGCAGGCCTATGCACTAAGTGTGGCAGCACTGAAGAACCAAAGAGAAAGATGGCCTCCAGGGCTGACACTCCAATCAGGCATTTGGTGCTTCACAGGGCATGATGCCTTTTGCCACATTGGTACTGCTGGGGCTTCCAAGGATCCATTTGCTTAATGACTGCAAGCAGGAGTGCTGGGATTAGGGTTTTTGAGTGAAACCATCACGGGACATCTTACTTAATGACTGCTTCACTCAACAACCAAGATTCCAGTCCCAATTGTGATTGTTAAGTGAGCACTACTTATATCTGGAATCAAACTCAAATTTACATTCTTTTGGGGTAATTCCAAATATGAATGAGGCCTCAGTCAAACATCTAAGGAGTCGGACAACAGAAATTCCAAACTGCCGCATAGTAGGAACTGTACTGGCAAAACCAGTTGAGGTTTGGGCTGCTCTCATCATACCTCTACATCATGGTCTTCATCCACGTAGTAAATAATTAAAAGCAGGTTTGAGCAAGATGAAGCTGCTACTGAGCTTGAATCTTGGAAATATTCCCCAGGTTTCAGTGAGCCAAAAGTAAAATGTAATCAGCGAAATCAAATTTATGGACACTTTGTACTTCAGATATATCCAGTCTTCTGCACCAAGAGGGGAAGGAGAGAGAGAGATGATGATGATAATCTCTTTAAAATGTCACATTTTAAAAGCTTTCACTAAACAATTTCATATGATTGGGTACACATGAAAAGGTATGAACTTTCAGTTCATTGGCCTTCCACAAGGGAATAGCATTTGCTTGTGTATTAAAGCAGCACATATGATTTTAAAAAGAGAGTGGGCTCTTGAAAATATATTGAATTTGTCTAACATTATCGTTTGTTCATTTCTGCAAATGTATGTTAACATGTTCCAAAACGTTTCTTACTTTTTCCTTCCTAATAAACTAACTATTAGCTAAGGCTTAAAAAGCATCTTTATTTGCATAAAAATTAAAAGGTTCAACTTTCCTGGGATAATGCCCATTGTAAGGGAAAAATGTACCTCTCCCCTACCTGGTATATAAAAATATCATGGGAAAAGCATATTATCTATGCAGGCAAAATTTAAATTATTATTACCTGTATGTAAAAGACAGAAGAAAATTGCAATTCTCATGGGAACATATTCTTCACAACCTCCCTTAATTTTTATCCATTTCAAGGGGAGTGGATGGTGTAGATTATTTTATAGATGATGTAATTGTGAATATTTTTTTTCTTTTTTCCCACTACCCCCCCCCCCCCAATGAAATATATCATGCTAGGTATGGTCAGTAGTTGGGGAGAATTTTTTCTATCTTCTCATCCCACTGACTTCCTTCCAGTTGCATTTTCTTCCTGTGCCAGATCACCTTGGAAACCATGTTAGGTAGCATTGTTTCCATGGTGACCTGGCATGAGAAGAAGAATATGGCCAAAGAAGTCAAAAGGTTGAGGGGACATGGAAAAACTGATTGCAACAAGTGAAATGTATTCAGGAGGGAGGGAGGGAGGGAGAGGGAGAGAGAGAGGGGGGGGAGAGAGACTATTCTCAGCCACTGTATCCTTAAGATGTACTATTTCCAAGGTGCATCAGAAGCCTCAACAAATCCTGTAAATCTACCTCAATATTCAGTCACAGGCATACCCCAAGACACCAATGAATTAATTGCAAGAAAAGAACCAAGTTTAACATAGAACATAATTTGAAGTGCATATAATTCTACTGAGGCTGTGCAGGATATGAAGATCAGCTTTTAGAGATCAAGCAAAGAAATCTCAAAAGTTCCATACTTCTTTAAATGAGAAAAGGTGATTATTTGATTCAATTAGGAATCACAAACTGTTCACGCTATGAAATGGACAATGAACTCAGCCAGGAGTCATTCTTTACTCCACTCAGATGGAGACTCTCAAACCCCTTTTTCATGGGAGGAAACAAAATAGAGCAATATGGATATTTCTGGCTGAAAAGAGCAGAACAAAGTGAGTTGAATAAAATGCTTTTTCTTTGTATCTATTGTTGGCTCCCTGAGATTTTTTTTAAAAAAGTGTTTCAATAAACAGATCCTTCACTTTCAACAGCTTTATGACTACTTTTCTCTAAAGAACTGTCACAAAACCTTTTAGCATTATAACTGAGTAATGTGGCAAAATAATTTCAAAATGGAAATGAATGGAGCTGAATTGCTGGTTTCCAGTAATCTCCATGACAGATGCAGGGTTAAATATTTAATAGGGAATTATTATGTGCCACTCAGTGATCACAAATTTAAGGCTGTCAGTATTTTTCTCCTTAAAAAAGTACACATCTTTGCCTTAAGCAAAACTGACTTGGCCAACCTGTCAATCAATTTACATAACTGCTGGGTAAACCATCTAAGAGACTCCTTAAATTCATCAGCAAGAGTTCTGGCATTAGTGAAAGAGTACTAATGGATGGGTTTCATTTATAAAAGTAATGTTGATTTTGTCTTGCTTTTGATCAAATGCCCTCAAGCTATTCCATCAATAAACTTATTGAACTTTATTGGATTTACTCCTACATAAGCTGCATACCATTGAGCTGCTGGTCTAGAATTCATCAACTTCCACATTTTTGTCTCAGCTATAATTATTTTCAGTAATGCAAATAATCACTATTATAAGCATCACATAATAGCTATAAAGATAAGAATTAGAAAACCATAATAAAATATTTCTTTGTAATTTATTAAAAACATTTGATATTATTCTGTGTGGAAGGGGTTAGGACATATAAATCACACATAAGCAAAAGACTTCTTACAGAAAAAGGTTAAGCTTTACTGTAGTTTGTTGTTGATTTTGCAAATTTTATCAATCTAGCCCAGGGGTGTCAAACTCGCGGCCCTGGGTCGGATGCATCACATGCTGGCCATGCCCAACCCCACTTTGACGAAGCAGAAAAAGTCACGATACATCACATGACAACAACCTGGCGATGCAAGTTTGACAGACCTGAGCTAACCAATTGTGATTCACAAACTATGTTGTTTGAAACATAGTTTCATGTCCTGGCTTCAGCAAACAGAGAACACATTCATGCAGTTGACCAGCAAAGTGCAGGCATGACGTATGTGGTATGGATAAATACAGCCTACTCAAGGAATGATTATTATATATCTATATTTTGGTATGGGGTATTATTCTAATCTTAAAAATATACCATATAAACAGTTTGCCATTCCCTCAGAATCTTTTCTTCTAAGGAAGGCTAAACAGCTTTATGCCCTCCAGAAGTTTTCAACATAAATAACACCCTACCTGGATTGATAGGAATTGAAGTCTAAAATGCCTGGAGGACATTAGCTTCACTTTCAAAGCCAACTAGACTAAATCCAAGACAGCTGTAGTGATTTATGCAAGGTTTAAGAGCCACTATGATATAGTAGTTAAAGGGTTAATTTCAAATGGATAGATTTTAATTTTAATTCCTGATCAGTCATTGAATCTATTATTTGACTTTTTTTGTTAATTATAGTATCACAGACATTCCTAATTAAAAGAATTCTTTTGTGAGGCTAAAATAGTCAGAATGACATACAATGAGGTCCAGCTGAAAATGCAGAATATAAATATAACTAATATATGTGAATCTTAAAAATAGAAAAGGAGGAGAAAGGAGGTCTGGCTTCCCTCAAATTTCTTCCACAAAATAAAGATTGTCTTGATAATTTGGCATCTTAAGAATATACATAAAATCTTCTTAGTGACTATGGAATGTTGCTATTCAGTTAGCCTATCTAATAGAGTTCTTGTGAGGATATAATGCATGAAATTTATGTTGTTCTGAAATAGATAAGATAGAAAACATTATTTTAGAAATGTCTGATAATCTGATCACTGACACTTTGGAATTACAGTAGATCTATTCATCCATGTCATCGCATTTAGGCTTCTTTATTCACTTGTATTAGAAATGTTTAAAAGAACTAGAACCAGAATCTTCTATAGTTTCACCCGGGTGACCTAAGAACCAGATCTGAAAGCTCAGAAGCACTTTTGGAATCCTGTTTTGATGAAGTGGAGAAAACAATGTTTCTTGCTTACGGTTCCATTATTAAGGAATGGGTTTTCTCTAGATATCAGGCTTACTCCCTAATGCAATGTCCCTCCAAAAAAGCATTAAAAACTGAATCATTTCTGAAGTTCTTGTATGGATGTTGTATGGATAACTCAGGTTTAATACTAAGATTTTATCATGGTATAACATGAGAGGGCTGTAGCAATGTAAATTAGAATGTTTCTGAGTTGCAGTGGTGGGTTTCAAATTTTTTTACTACTGGTTCTGTGGGCGTGGCTTGGTGGGCGTGGTAGGGGAAGGATACTGTAAAATCTCCATTCCGTCCCCAATCCAGGGAAAGGATACTGCAAAATCCCCATTTCCTCCTGATCAGCTGGGACTTGGGAGCAGAGAATAGATGGGGGTGGGGCCAGTCAGAATTTTTGCTATCGGTTCTCTGAACTACTCAAAATTTCCGCTACCAGTTCTCCAGAACTGGTCAGTTCTGAAACTGGCCAGTTTCAGTCAGAGCTGAAACCCACCTCTGATATTATTGGTTGGTATTTGTTAATGTATTACCATGAACATTTTCATGTTGTTATGTTAAGGTCCACTGCTTTAGGTTTCACAGCAGATGTTACAGTTGTTAGTGCATTTTTGTTGTTGTTGTATTTTGTGCAGAGTTGGTAGCTTAATAAACAAATAAATGGCTTGCTTCACATAGGCATACTAAGTCTTGGTATTGTCTTTATGTCTTTAAAAAATAATATTTAGTTGGTCTCTTTGCATGTGAAATAAGATGGTTTATCCAGGTACTTGAACATTTCGAAATCTGTTCTGATTGTATATTTTTCTTTATATATTTTATGGGAATATATAATAAAGGTAATGTTAGCTGCTACCTCACTCTTACTTGTGCTTCGATACCATGCAGTGATAGTCTGTCATGAACTACAGGGAGGGTGGATGGGAGGGGGCGCTTCTTGGGGGAAAGCAAAAGTGATTGCTGCTTGGGAAAAGAGAGAGGAGCTATATTTCTTCCACCCCCCACCCCCAAGATGCTGCTTGCTGTATCTCCCCAGAACGCTGTTTCAAGGTCACCTGGTTGGGAGAAGAATGCAGCTGCGTACTAACCCACAGTTGAAATGAACATTCTCAAAACGCATGCACCTGATTGGCCAGGAAGGCAGTCATGGGAGGCAGCTATGGGAGGGAAAAGTTTATCTTGAACTTGGTGTGCAATTCTCAGTTCTGGCTATGTACTACTGCAATGTACTTGATTTCTAATAAAACTATCCTTTCTCAACAAATGGAGCCAAGGATTGTTTCTGTTTAGAGCAGTGGTTCCCAACTTTTTTTTGGTCATGCCCCACCTAAGCATCTCTAAAATCCTGATGCCCCCCCCTTGTGACATATAATTCTTACTATTCAAAAAGTGAACTCCTACTCACACAAAGGAAGCCTAAAAGGCCATTAACTTGGTTTAAACAAGGTTCCAAATTGACCCCATTAAAAATCAAATTGCCACCCTGTAGGGCGTAGGCCCCACGTTGGGAACCACTGGTTTAGAGGTTTAAGTTGCAGCAGTTCTGACAGGTATATTCAATGTGTACATTCATTCAAGGATCCCAGGTGGCTGTTTTTTTTCCCTTTGGAATGTATAAAATTGATTTCTAAATAAATAAATCCTCACCATCTGCATTTTAAAGTGCTTTGGGAAATAAATGTTTTCTTAAAAAAAAAAAATGAACTGACTAAAAGAAGATGGTGATATGTATCAATGAATAATAGTCCTGCACATTTTTGACAATGTTATTTGGAAAAAATACAGATGGCATTCTATCCGACTGAGTTAAAGATCTGTACAAAGATTCTCAAAATACTAAGAAGCAATAATAGAGTTAAAAAGAAATCTGCACGTCAGCAGGACAAAAACATTCTGGCGGTAGCCAGCAATAATATTAGGATAATGTGCCCATAAACCCTTTATGAGTTGTACCATAAACATTCATGGAAAAAATGGAAATTTGGAATAAAAGAATTGAGCAAAAGAGTCAAGCAAACAAAATTGCAAACTGCATTGAGGTTTGTAGAACAATAACAAGAACATTAGAAGGGTTTACAAAAAAGTAATTTTTAAATAATGGTAGACCCATCTACTACTATACGGTAGGTAATAGGATGTGGTTACCAAAATGGAAATGAGTGCTC